CCAAAGCACCCCCACCTCTTCTTTCCGGGCACCGAAACCCCACCCTGCACCCTAACCGTCAAGCGTCAACCCTCTGACGATAATGATGCCTGGGTGCTCCTTCCTTTATGTCGGTGTGGCGGCGATGGCGTGCGCGTTCGTGTACGTGCGGCTGCCGGAGACAAGGGGCCGGAACTTGAAGCATATGGATGCCCTGTTCGCCAAATGATAGACGTGTCCATTCACTCCATTGCACTACTTGAGAGCTGAAAACATTGGCGCGGACAGTCACGATTTGTCACCTGCTTCCGCATGGGGTTCGCCGTCATCGTCGCGCCGGTCTAAAACGCCAAGATCCCACCGCCGTCTACGCGCAGCGGTACACGTCGTCCTTGTTGCTCCACGTACGTCCGTGGCGGGTTTCATGGACATGACTCGATTTGACTTGTGGTGGAGTTTTAACGTCTCTGGATATTATACTTTGGCCGGATATTTATCAACGTCGTCATCCTTCTCCGTGACACGTCCAACTACGCCGCCTTGGCCGGCCTGCCGGTGCACCTCGGCTGGCGCAGTGGCGCTCCATGTACGTCACCGGGACTCCGGGGGTGCTTCTAGAGTGTGAAGAAGCAACGTCTACATACAATTATGTTACATGTTGGCTTTGCCACCAACATTCACTTTCTTCTGAGATTGCCGGACATAATTGAGAGGCTAGTAACAGTTGAGATCATGTCAACTCCATTGTTTTTCAGATAGCTCATCACTCATGTCGAATGATAAGATCATGTCAATTTGAAAAACTGAACATACCGAAAATCCTAAGCCTATGAGCAGGGTTACAGACGCGTGGAGTAAGGACGTGTCCCACTAAACATACTCCTATATATCATGGCGCAAGAACTAAAGAAAAATAATAAGGAAAGCTAAGAAACAATATCTATGCTAGCTAGCTTGGAGTAGTGCTACTGTCTCTGCATGCTGAGCTCCTTGCGGAAGTTGCCGATGAACCTCTCCGTGTTGGCAAACAGCTCCTCCCGACTCATCTTCACGTCCCCGTCCATGTCAACTTCACAATCTTCCTCCTCCTCTTGCCGTGCCTTTTCCTCTCCGCCGGCTTGCTGGCCGCCGTTCAGCGCGCTGAGGAAGAAGATGCTCGCCGTCGACGGGCACTTCTTCAGCACCTTCAGAACCACCTCCTTGGTCTTGGTCTTGAGCTCGATTATATTGCTCGCTACAAAGGCAGGCAGCACGACACGATCATCATGCGCAACCGCCGTCCGGTCGTCGGGTCTCTGAAACGGTGAAGCCGCGACGCTGACAGGCGCGACGGCCTGACCGGTACTCGAAGACCCGTGCCGGTCTTCGTCGTCGGCGGTAGAAGCGCCGCCGCTGCCGACGAAGGCCTGGATGCCGAGCGCGACGACGATGCCGTTGAAGAGGAGGTAGCCGTAGGCGACCCTGAGGAAGACGGGCAGCAGCAGCGCGAGGAGGAGGAGAGCGAGGAGGGAGCCCAGCTTGGCCACCTGGGAGATCAGTGCCGCCGGCGGGAGCGTGAGCTTGACCCCCATTTGTCGACGAGCTTAATTTGCCGACGGTGCTAGCTAATGGTTCAGGTGCACTGCCTCGATTGATTGTCTGGATTCTGGAGCAAGGATACTATCTATCGGTCTAGCCGTCCGGCAAAGTATATCTCTACCTAATAATAAAGCACCGTGGGTTTCTGGTCGTACGTCGTCGCTGGCGATTTGCAAAAAAGCCCATCTATTTCTGATAATTCGACCCGCGGTCCTATTTTTAAGTGGCTAATCCAAAAAAATGATTCATTTTTACATAAAGGACCCTGCAGTTTTTATTATTCGACCTGCGACCACAGGACAGGGAAGAGGCGGCGCTTGGTTGGTGGTCTCGGCGGTGGGGCGGACGGATCGAGGCCAACGGGGAGGTGGCAGCCCGAAGGCAGGGCGAGCTCCAAGGCGGCGGATGAATGTGTGCTCCTCTCGATCGTCCTCCTCCTGACCGCAGGACAAGCAAGAGGCGACTCTTGGTTGGTGGTCTGGGCGGCGGATAGGCCTGCTCCGCGTGGATCCAGCGGCGGGGCGGATGGATCGAGGCGGAGGAGCACGAGGCCGACGGAGAGGCAGTGGGCCGGAGGCGGGGCGAGCTCCAAGGCGGCGGGGT